CATAGAGCGAGGGAACGCAAAATGAAAAAAATCCCCCATGTCACTTCCCGGGCTCCGTAATGTGTGTCAACTCCATGATCAGCTGAACAGTGATAAGCAGGAAGTTCATCTGTACAAGCTAAATCCTCCATATTCTGTCATAATTACCTTGCATGCTCAATTGTTAAATTAAAGGTTAATACTTGAAACTAGTTGTGTTTTGTTTTGGGCGTTTTTAAATACAAATATATGTTGCAACTTCTGGTTGCATAAGTTTGGTCTTTGTTTGTTATGATCACTTAACACTAAACTGATTTTGTACAAAGCTTTTAATAGGCTGTGTAATGTGTAGCGGAGTGCTACATTTGTAGCATCTTAACTAGTGTTAGGATGTGTGAGAGAAGCGAAGAGTGCTCTATTCACACAAGGAGAGCTGTTGGTCAGGTTACTTCTTGTTGCTCTCTAAAATAGTTACTGAATCAAGTGTTTACTTATGTATGTAAACGTAAATGTTTAACAACTCGTTAAAACTCACCAGAATGCAGGAAATGGCATCTTTATTCAAAATTTCTGGGGGAGGACCCCCAGACCCCCCACCAGTGTGTCCCCCACTGCTCCCACATTACAAATGCTTCTGAAGCCAAGAGGGTCATATTCTTCGATCATCCCGGTATACACGCATCAGCCTGACACAGTGTTCAAACAACAAGAAGAGATTTACATTATGTTGTGATTTTGCAGTGTAGAAGTCATTTTAAATGAAATTAAGTTGAACTTACACGAACATGAAGCTAACCCACAACACTTACATGTTTACTTTAGAGCTCTCAACTGTTTAGAATCCATATTTACATAGAGAAACATTTTTTCTTGATATTGTAAAGAAAAATGAAGTTCAGATAATTCTATAGATGAAACTTTAGATGTGTTTTGTGCCAACTGCTTTATTGTAGAAACTGATGTAAGCAACATTGCCTTCAAAACAGTAAAATTGTAAAGGTCCAACATTGCACGACTGCACAAAAGCTGCAAAAAACAAACAAAAAAAAACCTTTTCATGCAGGATCCAAGTTACTCATAAAACTAAAAGCACTGAATAGAACAATTTGACCAACGATTTTCGGGATATAACGGCACAGAACGTTTTCAGTTTCTAGGAGCACACATATTAGTAATAAGAGAGAAGAAATACTGGATGTGTTTGCAGTTCAGTCACAACTTAAAAGCAAATAAAACTGACCTTTAAACTATTTTTAAACAAGCGGCAGCACAATCTATCAATTATTGTGCTTTTCATAGCTAGCCATACTGATGAAAAGGAAGGTTAGTTTTAATTTTTACTTTGTGAACTATTTGTGAACTAAAGTTCAACCGTCCATCATTAAACGGGGCGGAGCCTCCGTGTCCAACTGTCCCCCCTTACACTGCTGTTATTACTAGCATCACTCAGCCCTCTGAGAATAACAAGCAGCCATCAGGGTGCTAACCATCTGTTGTTGGGTTGATGGATGGTTGATGGTCCTTCTTTATCATGTGAACAGCTAGTTTTGGTTATTGTCAACAAGCTGGTTGAGAAGGTGCTATTTATAAGACTGAGTTTGTTGCAGCTCCTCAGACTGAAGAAGTCCTTTGGATAAAAGACGAAATGCTTCAACAAGATGATTAATTCATCCAGAGGATCTGATTTAACTTTGTTAGATTATTCTACCTGGATTATTGAGCAGCATCAGGATGAAAGTCAACAAATTTCTGTTTCAAAAGTGGAAATGTGAACAACAAAGAAACATAATTTTACAAAAAAATAATGTCTAAATACCTTGTTACTTAAACTTTTTGTTTCCATTTCTTTCCTTTGAAAGTATTTTACAGTTACTAATAAATATATGTAAGACAACATATGGGCTTTTATAAAAAAAAAAAGAAGAAGAAATAAATAATTTAAAAATAATATAAGTGTTTGGGGAGGTCACAAAAAGCAGAGAAAACAATACATTATTCTCATATGTTTGCATGAAAAACAAACATGTTTTTTGTTAAAAACTCATATTTTACAACTCATGTAAACAAAACTATAATATTCTCTGACGTTGTAAAGTTAAAAACTTGTGAGAAAAAACGTTTCACACTTCCAGAATTACTGTTCTAAATTTACCAGAAGAAAAGGTGGATGTTTGGTGCCACATCCACGCAGGAACGCCATCTTTCCAAAATGATATTCTTCTTTGTAAACATGGCAGCGTTTCTAGAAATGTTTCCATCCACACTGAAACACATACAACTCCTCAAACACTGCAATAACTAGCCAGGCCTGTATGTGGCGCTGTCATGAGAATATTCTGGAAGCATGGAAGGAGGAACAGCTGTAAACACAAGAATAAAACAAGGAAGGAGAACAAAACTGGATCCTTTCTGTGGACTGACGGTGAAGTGGAACTTTTATCTCGTGCACACGGAACCACAGTTGACTGGGAGCTGATTAAACATGTGGACATAATGGATGGTTTTATGCAGAGTGAGGGTGAGATGGAGGACGACGACTCGCTGTGGCGACCCCCGAAGAGGCAAAAGCTGAAAGAGGGAGATCCAGAGTGATGGAGGTTCGTCTCTGCTGCTCCCGTCTTCAGGAGTAGCCACAGTGAACAAACTCGTAGGAAGGATTTCGCAATGATTTTACGTCAGATGCCCTTCCTGCCACAACCTGGGCTCAAACCCACAACCTCAGGATTACAAAACTGCAGCACTGACCACCAAGCTACTGTAGCCCCATCCCAAAATGGAATAAGTGGGTAAAGATAATGGATGGATGGATGGATGGATGGATGTTTCAGACTGCGTTATTGTTCATCAGCCTCGGAGCTGCTCGTTGAAGAGATACAGGATACAACAGTTTTACTGAAGTTGAGCGTCCACAACACTGACACAAGCATGTAATGATCATTTATGTTTAATGATCATTTATGGGTCATAGGTTAGGCAGGAAGTAGGTGTGTGACATCATCATAATTAAAAGGTTGTGTTTAGGCAACAGTTGCATTTAAGATGTTCTCACTCTGGACCCCCGTTTAGAAAAATACTGTTTTAGAGCTCCCAAAACACAATTTTGTGACACGTGGCTGAAATGATTAAAAACTTCTGTGTAGCTACACAACACCTTCCCTGTGGACAGGGCATGAAGGTGTTAAAACTTTAATCTGTGAGAAAAAGGCGAAAGTTTTATGGGTAAATAAATTTAGACCCATTATGACATTTACCAGGTGGACTCACCCCCCCACCCCCACACTCCCAACAGATCTGCATTCCCTTTTTAATTTTCACACGTTTTTCCCTGAACATTTATCAGATGCAATTTTAAGAATATTTAGATGAATCCTTACTTTAATTTCAGACATACTTTTTCTCTCCGTGTCTTTATAATTTACTAATCTCATTAAACGTTTTGAGTCTTCTTCTGGTAAATGTACAACTGTAATTCTGTTAGTTGTTCTGCAAACATACAATTTATTAATATGAGCGAAGACAGAAAAGACTGACTTTCAAACATCAGAGAATATTCAATCTAATGTCCTAAATCAAAGCATATTTTATGTAAATATATAATATTAACCTGGGAAATCTGCGCCCAGCCTAGCAGCTCCTATTATTTATTTTTATTAGCATTAATCCTAATCTTCACTAATTCATTTACATAAAATAATGTACATTTGGAAAACTTTAAATAGTCCTGAACATTAAAATAAAAGCAAAACAGTTATCTTGCATTAATGTGTTTGATCAATATTATTCTGATTGTATCATATCTGATCTGTAGGTTTTCAGTGATTCCTCCCTGAGTTTTGTGTTCTCGTCGTGCTCCAACTACAAATCCATCATTGCTTTAGTACTTGAAGAAAATTGGTAAAATGAAAGAAAATAATTTTCTAAAGTATATTTAAGACCACTTACATCAGCTAAGACAATAAAACACATCTTATATATTGTGACATCATCATCATCAGTATAGTACAATTTGAAAACTTTTTATACAGAAATCACAAAATAACATTTACAGGTTCCCACTGATAGTAAAATGGAGCTGCAGTGCAAAAACAAAAGCCAGAGTTACTCTTAAATGACTCTCAGCTACTACCACCCTAAACTGTAGCTCAAATCTGCAACGTTATTTTGGGTTATCGCCATATTTGTATTTGATAATGATGGTCGGCTGCAGCAGCCATTTTGAATTGTGACTTGAAGATGTAGTCAGTTGTTGACGTACATCCGTTGATTCTTTTCTGAAAGTTTACTTCAAATTAGTTTTGCCCATAATGAGATATTTTGCTAACAGGCAAACAAGACTGATGCCGACAGTTATTACCAAAGTTTTAAGCAAATATGTTGTGGAATGTGTAGCGCTCGGCGTATGTGCTGGAGATCAGTCTCAGCTACTACCACACCCCGCTCAAGATGAGTTTTAGTCATTTTTATGTTTGCTAGGGTTGATTAGTAGTGGGGACCATCATGAACGAGGTTAACTCCAAGTTAACTATTGAAATTGCATTTCCTGCTAAAATGTAGTGTGAAGAAAGCAATCCAGCCTTTTCTGACTGAGGACCATGACCTCAGATTTGGAGGAGCTGATTCTCATCCCAGTCACTTCACACTCGCTCCAGTGAGAGCTGAAGGTCACGGCACGATGATGCCAACAGGACCACATCATCTGCAGCACAGATGAACCCTGAGGCCACAGAACCGGACTCCCTCCACCCCCTGGCTGCACCGAGAACTTCTGTCCATAAAAGTTATGAACAGAACCTGCGACAACGAGCAGCTGGAGGAGTCCAGGTTGTCATAAGTCGGGTTATCGTTTTAGAGATATTAAAAGAAAGGAGTGACATTTGACCCTAATAGTGCCATTGAGTCACGAGGACCCACCCCCCAAGAGAGACCTGTACTGGGCTACGTGAGCGCCCGGGTGTGACGAGGCTAAATGTTTTGACGGCATGAAGCTCGTTAGCTCGTCCAAAATAAATAAATTAACTGCAGCATTGTATAAATGTGTTCAAAGCCTGTGAAAAAAGTAGCGGCTTATAGACCAGAAATTATGGTACGTAGTCATGTGACAAAATGTTTCGCCTAAAACCTTGGCCTACACTGTTGGAGTCAACTTTCTTTGTTGTTTAGCAACATGACTCGTGAACTGCTGACTTCAGTTCAATTCAACTCATTTCAGTTTATTTATGAAGCGCCAAGTCACAACAGAAGTCGTGTCAGGACACTGAACAGAAACATCCATATACTTTATGAGAGCCAATTAGTAAAAGTTATCGGCCACGTGTCAATGCAAGGAATGGATTTGAATGAATCTAAAGTGGACAAAGTAATCATTAACATCTACAGCTGATTACTTTCTGGAGTCTGTTCATTCCAGTATGGCCACCACCACAAAACCAGCAGTAACTCAGTTTGACTGATGCTGAGCTGGTTTCTGACGTACCTGAGATACTCTGAGGGTGACGTTTCACCAGCTGTCGTCAGACCTGAGGCTTTTTCTCAACTACAACTCCATTACGTTTCATCCTAAAATGATTTCAGTCTAAAACTCTGGCGTAAAACATGGCGGGCGATATGCATTCCTTCAAAACTACTATTCCATTAATTACGTTGCAGTGAGGAGGAGGAGGAAGCGAGTTTGAAATGAATTCACACAAACCGTGACCAGCAGGTTTCTGAGTAGATTCCTTGTAATGATTGTCTGCTGGAGGAACCTTCAAGGATTTTCATTGAATCAAACGGGTCACATTGTAAATCAAAGGTTGTGTAATAAAATGTTAACTAAAAACAAAATGTATGATGTCATCACTGGTTTAATTCACTACAACGTTGTCAAGGTGCTTCACCCGCCGTGAAACATGCAAAATTCATTCAGACACCCTACAAATAAGCGCTCCGCTCATCCTTTCGTAAATCAAACATTTTCTCCACCGGAGGATCTCTGCGTCTGCGGAGCCGTCTTGTTTGTGGGTCACAGGTGGGATGAGGTGGAGAAGCACAGTTTCAGGGTGAAGGGGTTGGAGCTGCCTGCACGCCAAAGACAAAGAAAGCACGCTTTACTAAAACTGAAACGTTCATAAAATATCCTGATGCATGCTCGATAATCCAGGTAGAAAAATCTAAACAAGTTCAATCTGGTCCTCTGGACATCCAGAAAATGTTCATAACACGTTTTATAGTCGTGGGTTACATTTCCTTTAAATACATGAACATACAGAATAGAACGGTATATGAGACCATTTCCACGTGACACCTGCAGCGCCTTGCGGAAGTATTCATACACCTCGAACTTCCCACAGTGTCCCCTTACGACACATTTTAAAGTATTTTACTGCAACATTGTATTACACAGCAACAAATTGTACCAGGATTATTGAGCATGCATCAGGATACTTTTTAATCATTGTACCAGGATACAGTGAGATTATGTTCGTACAGTCATCTGAGAGATGGGCAGAGTGCACGTTGCTGCTGCTCTTATTCTTTATCAGAATACTTTTAGATAGAAAAAGTTAAGAACCATAAGGATGGATAGTGGTATTACAACAAAGATCCCGTCACATCTTGTCCTGTCAGGTCACGATTTGAGACATCAAAAAACTCCACCAGCAGCACATTTATAAAGACATTACATGCATTTGACATCAAGACGTTGAGATTTGTCCATGCACCTTCAGATAGGCCACAGTTCGGATGTTGTTCAGTTCTGAACAGCCTGCACAGAAGTTCTCAGGTGGGGGGGTGCGACAGATGGAGCTTTTGTCCCTACTTACCCATGATCCAGTAGAAATTTGATAGTCGGCTCGTATCCGAGGCCAAACGGGGGAATCAGATTCAGATAAGACAAAACTGTTAATTTTTTTAGGCAGACTGTTTTTTTTCTTGTCAGCCTCGAGTCCTGCTGGAACTTTTTTGGGCCAAAATGTCAAAATTTATGGGAATCCACTCCACTGATCTGCGTTATGAACCTCCTTAAGATCCATCCCACAGGTGGCCTGCGATTCTCACAAATCGCCTCCGTCTTACTGTTTAGCTCGTTAATCAGCTGATTTTGAGTACTCAGCACGTACCAGACTCTGAAGCTTTGCCGTGGCTGAAATCGCTGCTGACGTCTTCTTTATGTAGATAAAACAGAACCCCGCCGATGCCACAGAGCAGAACCCCTGCTATCATAAATCCAAAATATAAACGTCTTCAGCGTCCTCCTGAGACGGAACTGAGAGACACGTCAGCTGATCTCTGATGTACCTCGCATCGTGAGTCTCAGCCGGGCAAGAGGGTTCTCCAGGACCCTGTCCTTTTGTCTTGTTTCTACCACCTTAACGTATCGAGAGACAAAACAGTTTTGCCCAGTCCAACAAAGTTAAGTCAGGTCCTCTGGACCTGGTTGGTGTTTGGTACCCCAACACATAGTACTTTCAAATCAAATTTTAAAATGGCCTCCCATGGCAGTCCCCATCAAAGTTTCTCAGGAACTTTCTATTCTTCCTTCCTGTTCACTTATATGCACTTTGTTGGTACGTTCTAGGAAAATCCTTAGAAGTTTGTGTTTGTAATAGGACTACATTCAGTGCGCATGAACACTTTTGAAGCTGCTGTATATGAGCCCTGCTTGCAGAGCGATCTGCTGGTAAATGCTCCTGTGTGTCACTTACTGGGTATTCTGATCTGGTGGTGGTTGAGGACAGTCAGAGCCTCAACAGCTTCAGTTTTACTGTCAAACTCCAGGAGACCAGACAGAGTCTTTAAGCTGGCTGCGTGGAGACAAGAAAATCAGTGAGTCAAAAGACCCGGTCGTGAGTTTTTTACTTTTGTTGTATAACGTTGAACTCACGTTTGGCGTCAAACACTTTGAACTTGGTGAACGGAGGAACGTTGTGTTCAGAGCACAGCTGATGGGAAACATTACAGAAATCAGTTCGGGCGTTGGTGACAAACTTTCTTTTTTTGTTCACACAAGAAAAACATTTTTCCAAGACCCAGGTGAGCTTTGGCTGCCAAGTTCCAGTCCAGAAGTGATGATAACCCAGGTGAGCCCTGACCTTGAGCAGCTGGTGCTGGCTGAGAGTGGGCGGGGCATTATAGAAGTGCAGCACGGCGGCGGGCGGCTGGATGATGTTCCTGTTGCTGTGAGTGCTGCTGAAGCGGTTGTTTCTGGTCAAACTGAAGTCCTGGTAGCTGCTGCTGCCGTCGGCCAGCTCAAACACCTGACTGGGAATCACCGCCTGCTGCTTGGACACACTGAATGGGACGAAAGAAAATGCATGGACCGTCCAGGTCAAACGCACAAAAACGCAGAACGAACCAAGACAAGACAAACAGTCAGAAACAGTTCAGCCTCGTTTTGCTCTAACACCCCTGGAAAATAAAGAAACCATCGTTAAGATTTTGTAAGAAAACTAAGTTCTCAAGTTTTAGATTCACCAAAAT